AGATTCCCGTGCGGGCAATCGCGACGATATTTGCCCGCACACACGGCCATGGTGGAAGACTCGTAAACCACGCCTCTTTTCAGCCTTTGGGGCACGAAAAAACACAGGGCAGGCAACTGCGAAAAACAAAATGTTTAGCTTTGAAAGTTTGGTACGATTGGTGTCTAAACATCCTTCTCGCACTCCCTGGTTATTATCTTCTATCTTACTTGATCTTACTTTACTTCTGTATATGTCATTGTTAACATTCTCTGTCGAAACGTGAGCGTCGTGAAACGTGAAAAATCGTTGAAAATGGTGCGCTGCATAGTGAAAAACTGTGAAAATAATTGCAGAACATGCACACCGGAGCAAGCCAATTTTCATAAATTACCGGATAACAAAATAATCCGTGAAGGATGGTTTCGGAGCATTGGAGAGGTTATATTGCCTTCGAACATCGTTAACGGTATGCCTCTGCATGATAAAATTTAAATTTGTTTATTTTGATATACTGTATCATGAAGTAACAAAAACTATATTGTTTGAAAGATCAGAAAAGTTTTGTAATGTATCTCTTTTATCTGTTATTTAAGCACGAATTTGCTCCGTACACTTTACTCCGGAATCTTTCATTCAATCGAAGAGAAAAAGAGGAGAAAATATTTTTAAAAGACGACTTTTGCCAACTGCTGTACCAACGTTGCATCTGGTAACAACAAACGAACAGTAAGTTGGATGTGTAATTTATTAAACAAAGCAAATATTGACGCTCCCTTTTTTAAAAATAATTATTAAGAATAATAAAGTTAACATAAACTATTAATATTCATACGCTTATGACAAGATGACTATGGATGTTGCTCCAAGAACCATGTGACAATGAAACTACATTTATATTTTCTTTATTAGGGCACATGACAAAGGCAATGTAAATTGTAACATTGTTAAGCGGACCTTTAATTTGGTTTGTCCATCAACGTCACCTCTAGAAGCAATAAATGCTGCAAGTCTGTCGCCTGTGCCAGGCCCATCAAAGGAGAGAATCTCATCTGTTGAGCCGGAACTTTCATCTTTGCTACGTTCATCAACACCCGTATCAAGGATGATGACAGAACCTTTGCTTGATTTAGGTCTGCTGGATAAGGCAGATATGACAGGTCAACATGAAACTCCAACAACGTCAGTGTCTTGTCGGTATGTATTACACTACAAGTACTTAATTAGCGCTACTAATAATAATATTCTCATAAATGAATATTTTAGTACCCACAAACCACTACAGATATCAATAGAGCCATAAAAAAACAGCTTTCAGATCTTTGGTCATACCACGGGCAATAAAAAGTTTATAAAAACCATTATCAGTGATAAAGTCTCATAAAGTACAGATTCTTATGGAGGATTCACATTACGTCCGATGTTCGACGTACGACGATCCGACATCCAATAACAGAATTTATTATTAGAGACAAAAATTTCCTATTGGATGTCGGATCGTCGTACGTCGAACATCGGACGCAGTGTGAATCCTCCATTATCAAACAAACCTGCCGTTGAGAACGTTTTGTTACTCGTGGTAAGACCGAAGGCCTGAAAACTGTTTTTACTACCGACTGCAGTTTTCATGTGCTGAAAAATACAAATAGAATTTTCAAATCTGCACTCATTACTACGAATAACAAACTTTATTCTTAAAAGACGTATAAGACTTTTCTTTGCCAGTAAATAAAAAAAAGTTCAAATAATAAATACTTCCTTCTTGACTTTATCTGGCATTTATTAAAAATCAATTACAAACGACACAACGTTTCGACTAGGCGCTTCCTAGTTATTCTCAAGTGTACCTATCAATAATATTGATAGTAAAATTAATTACAAACGACACAACGTTACGACTAGGCACTTCCTAGTTAAATATTTGTATATGTCCGTGCCAGTTCTGAGCTGAGCGTTGAATGGCGGCCGAAGAGGACGACCACGACGGCTCGCGCCGCCACGGAAGCCTCGCAGCAAGGAAGATCCGCGGGAGGCCAAGGCACGGGACCGAGCTCGGATCCCCGGGACCGGCGCGAGAACGCCGATCGGTTCACCTCGCCCAGGCCCGGCACGTCAGCCAAACCCGCTTCCCGACCAAGCCCGACACGCCCCGCTCCTCAGAGCCAATCCTTATTCCGAAGTTACGGATCCAATTTGCCGACTTCCCTTACCTACATTAGTCTATCGACTAGAGGCTCTTTACCTTGGAGACCTGCTGCGGATATGGGTACGAACCGGCGCGACACTTCCACGTGGCCCTCTCCTGGATTTTCAAGGTCCGAGGGGAAGATCCGGACACCGCCGCAACTGCGGTGCTCTTCGCGTTCCAAACCCTATCTCCCTGCTAGAGGTTTCCAGGGAACTCGAACGCTTATACAGAAAAGAAAACTCTTCCCGGATCTCCCGACGGCGTCTCCAGGTCA